CATTCAATTATTGATGGCAATTATGAAAGGTAAACTCAATGTAGAAACACAGGGCTTGCAGTAACAGCGCAGTGGCAGCAACGAGGCATTTCTCCGATAGCCATGGTGCTGTAGACGGCATTGAAATCCTGCAGAAATCTGCCCAGGGACTCATTCGCAGCTGCTCCTATGAGAATCAGAAAAAAATATGAGATGAGAGAGATAAGATGCCACAAGACGCTGATAAACTCACTTTAAAACTCACTTATGACAGAAAGCAAACAGTATAAAGGAGTGATATTTGTCTATAATTAACATGATTTTTTTCACTAACCCAAGTACTCTGGATCGAGGCTACCTTTCAGAAAACCTCCACATCCAAAGTCTATCAGCTTAACCTGTAGACTGTCTGTTTGGATGAGGAGGTTTTGGGCCTTGATGTCCCCGTGCCGGACACCCTGATCCTCACAGTGAAAGAGGGCCAGCACCAGCTGTAGCAGCACCAGCTGTGCCAGCTCCTCACTCATGTAGCCACCGCGTTCCATGCAAAAGTGATAGAGGTTCAGACACGGCTCAGGTCTCTCCATCACTATTGCATGGCTTGCATGATCGCCGTACCACTCAACAAGCTTGACGATGTAGGGGCAAGCCGGAGGGATGCTCAGCTGCTTCATCAAAGCCACCTCCTTTGGCATCTTTCCCCCAAGTGCAGGCGGTGAGGTTGTTGAAGCAGATAAAAGAGACAATGCAGGGAGCAGAAAACACACTTATCCCTTGTTAAATGTTAGTGTGTCGTCCTACAAGCTACTTACTATGTCTACCTCTTCCTTTTCCTCTCTGCGCACTTCTTTGATTGCAACCTGGGAAGATTAGACATGATTTTTATAGAGAGAATTTGCACATAACCAAACATAAAAAACTGACATAAATTCAAATGCACTTCTTATAAGAACATGGAATCCATAAAGACTGCACATACTATATATGTATATGCATGTTGAGACCTATTGTAAGATATAATATCTTACTGGTAATCCGTCGTCCTTCCGGATTCCGGCGAATACGCTGCCAAACCCTCCACTACCAATTAGAGCCCCTCTAGAGAAAAAATCCTCCAGTCGTTCTACAGCACAGTGAAGAAGAGTGGGACACAAAACAATACTCAGCAGCTAGTCAGGGTAACATCCAAACCGACATATATTAGTTATTATCTAAAACCACAAGCAACCAGAGAAGAAACTTTAAAGCATTAATATGAATATTTTGGGAGCTTCATTTACATTTTAATTTAGATATGCAACCCCACATATAAACCTTTAGAATTAGAGGTGGTGGATTTGGGACTCAAAGTTGAGTGGCCTGCATCATCCAAAGCTGCAGCCTCCATTTTCCTTAGCCTCAGCTGTTGACTAACTTCATGTAGGAGTTTGGTCCGAAGTGCTGGACCACCTCCGGTGCCACTCCCAGCTGCGGATTCACTGTAGCCACTTTGTCCTACAGATAATGAAAAATGGACAATGTCACTGAATGACAAATTCGCTGTGGATGTAGAGTTAAGTTTTGAACTGAGACATATGCAAATACCTGGGGTGCTTAGTGACAAAATATAGACTAAAACTACTAAAAATATATATCTACTCACAGTGACACAGCATGACACCTCAGTGTAAAACTAATGTGAAAACATGACCTGAAAGCTAAAACTGTAGATGCTGCTATGCATCAATCTGCCATGTTTCTGTCATACACACTTGCAGCAGGACTTTTCCCCCTCCCCCTTTTCACTGGGCATCCCTCATCCTTGCTCGGTGAGCGGGATCTCTTCCTCACTCGAGACTCAGAGACTTCAAAGAAAGGTCCCAGGAAATTAATATCATACACTTATGATGTGGCGCATAGATGGATAGACATTCATGGTCAGTATTATGGCCCTGGACCATAGTAAGTGTGGTGGGGCCTGGAGCTTACCGTGAGCAAATAACTGGGGTACATGCAAGATTGCAGATGATAATAATAATAATATGCAGTATGTTTCAAAAAGCTAATATTTGTTGCATTTATATTTATGTAAACTGATTCAAAAATCCTACCATTTCTTTAACTTTTTTATTATTGTTTGCTATTAATTAACCTATGAAATTAGTCTGGTTCCAATCTCCAATGATAACTTTGTTACATGACAAACCTTTAAAGGGGCCCTTCTGGGCTTTGGCTGAGGATGTCGAGGGATGAATTCTGCCTTGTGAATAAAGCTTCCTCCTCCCCTTTTTTATTGGGCATCCCTCATCCTTGCTTGGTGAGCGGGATCTCTTCCTTCCTCTCGATTCCGAGACTTAAAAGAAAGGTACCAGGATATTAATGTCATACATTTATGAGGTAGGCATTCAGGACCAGTAGTATAGCCCCAATGATAAGTGGTTAGAAGGTCAATGGATAAATGATTAATCAGTAACAGTATAGGAAAATATCTGTTTCTTCAACAGGTTCCATGTACCATCAAAGTTCCACATTTTTCAGCTTCATAGCCGATATAATTCTAGAAATATACACTTTGGTTATGCAGAGTGCTCTCAGTATTTGATATTTATACAGTAATGGTTATAGTATGCTAAATCAGCCGGTAACATTTGCAGGGAAAGTGTATTTTTATTTCACATTATTGTTGGATATTGAGATAAATTAATTCCTCGTAAATCCAATACATCACATCCAGTAAGTTCAGCACAAGTTATTGAACAATTAAGTACCTAAAGGATATTCTGCTTAAGAAGTGTTAAGATATACTGAATGGCAAAATGTATGTTAATTTAAAGAATGGATATATTTTAAAATATGTCACTAAATCCTAGCTTGCCTGAAGACTTGTTAATTTCCATGTTGTACTTTGGGGAACATTAACCAATTGTGCAAAGTTTGGTGACCCTGCCATCAATAGTGACGATGTTGCTACTTTTAAAAGGGTCCCACTTTATAATGTTTTTGTGATGTCACAGAATTAAAATAACATCAGAATGGCAGATGACATCATTGACCTGTAAATGATGTCATACTTTTGAATACCAATGGGAGCAGACTTTAGCTCCCTTGAACTTTGAGTAGGTGAAATTTGATTTGTCAGAAGATAGGACCTAGGTTTGAGGACATCAAATGTCGCCAATTGCTTTAGTGTGACCCCATGACTATTTGATTCAAGTTTGGTGAGTTTAGCTTCAAAGCTGTAAGAGTGGCAGCAGTTTGAAATTCCTCCCAGTATTAGTCAATGGGAAAATGGGGTGTTTGACAGGACATCCCAGTAAGATGTAAGGTGGGACAGCTTAGAAAAGAACAAGCAACCCCAATCACTATGAGACAAAGAAGTGTGGAAAATTTGATGGTTGTACTTTTAGGAGGAGAGGCGTATAGAATATAGGGGGTGGAGAATAATAATAATAACCAGAAAAAGAGCAGTAAGTTGGCTTTTTTAAGCCAAGATAATAATGTTGTTACAATCGCCAGTATATTGTTTTTATCGTTTGGGTATTTGTGCTGGTGGCGGGATGGGTGTGTCTTCCTTGTGCAGGCCCCACCTAACCCGCCGGTTTTCTTTGTCTATATGGGCCCCCCCTAGATCATCCTGCAGCGTTGGGGGGGGTTGGGGCGTGCCGGGTCACTGCAGTGGGCGGTGGTCCGTCCTGCTGGGGGAGGGCTGGGGCCCCTCCGGTGTGTGGGGGGCCGTCCGCCAGGGTGGGGCCCTGGACCCACTTTCCTCGGTGGGGGGGGACTGGGGGGCTCGCCACCTGTCCACCCTCTGCGGGCCTCCCTCTACCGGGGTTGGGCGCCCCCTTAGTCCCTCGCGGGCTGCCTCCTGGGTTGAGCGGGTGCTTGTCTCGGGGACGCATGGCCTGGGGGTGCGTTGCAAAAAGAGACAAATCGTGATACTGTGTGACAACTGTGCTGCACACAGCAGTGACGTTCGTCTGACCAATATCAAGCTGGTGTTTTTGCCGCCGAACACAATGTCTCTCATCCAGCCCATGGACCAGGGCATTATCGCAAACTTCAAACGACATTACAGATCGTTGGTTCAGTGACGCCCCGGATACACACGCTGCAGAACTGGCGAGGAAGTTAACGATCCTGGACTCCCTCCACATGCAGAAGGTGGCGTGGAATCGTGTCACTTTGCAGACGACCGCTAATTGCTACAGGCGGACTGGTTTCATCAAAGATATGACCGATGACGGCGTCGAAACGGGCGCCGAGGAAACTGACACCGCTGCCGATCTACCGACGGGTGTCACGCTACAGGGGTTCGCAGCGTACGTCGCCGTTGATAATGACCTGCCTGTATCGGCCGATCTCACAGATGCCAACATCTGTGCCAACGTGTGGGGACCGGCAGCGGACGCTGATGAGTCTGATGCGGAGGAGGATACCACCGGGCAGACTGACGCTAATGACTGCCCCCGCCACCACCAGTGGCGTTCACCGACGCTCTTCAAAGCCTGCGGACGATTCATGCTTACCTGGAGGCCGGCGGCTGCAACGACTACGGAGTGCTTTACGGACTAACAGATCAGTTGCATGCACTAAATCATAAAAACAGCACTCAAAAGACGACTAAGGACTACTTTTCGTAGCATTAAACAGAACATTACGTGTTATGTGCTTGAACTATATTATGCTGTCATGCTTGCCGTCATTGCGGTATGTACAGAACATGTTTTGCTGATTGAGATTCAGTGTGTAGTTCTTGTACCGTCAGGTTTGTAGTGACGGGTATGGTGGGGGTGCACTTGATAACCACGTGGCTGGGTCAATACGGATAAGCGCACGCTCCGTTTAAGTGCAAGTTGTAGTCTGGACTGGAGGCCGCGCACTTAACCGGATTTGACTGTATATACCTGTATATAATACCTATTTGTAACATTATTAATTATTATTATTATTGATATTGTTGTTATAATTTTTGTTGTTTGCTGTCCTTAAAGTAATGAGTGTTATGTTATGTTTCTTATGGTTGTTTGTATTCTGTATTCCCCTACACTTAATTTTCTCCATCCCACCTACATTATCAGTATTATTATTTCTGCATACCTTTGTTTTCTTTTTTTTGTCTCCCCATGGTGATTAATGTCTGTTACTGTTACGATTGTTGTTTCTGTATCTCCCCCCACCCCCACCTTTTTTTTTTCTTTTTTTTCCACAGTACTAGGACGGGTGAGTTCGGAGCGGCCACACTCTTTGCTCTTGAATTTAATGTAAAATAAAGTTGTCCTCCGAAGAAGGGGGGTGGTGGTGGGCAATAAAAAATAATAAATAAATGGGGCCACTTTTAAAGCCTTGTCCGACGACTCCTCGAGAGAGACCTGTTCTGTTGTTGTTTGTACATCTGTATTTGACTTGATTTACCTCTGTGTGTGAATTAAGTGATTGTCTGCGAATTACTTTCTGCCCAGCTTAGACTATGTGTGTGTTTTCCCGCTATATACAGTATATATTGCCTCTTTGCAAATAACACTTGTACCCGTGGTTAGTAGGAAGTCGGTGCCATTTATGTTTATCTGTTTTTCTCCTGGTTTTGGGTTAGATAGGGAGTGAGGGTAGATGATGTATATTTCTTTTCTTTTCTTTGGATTAGGTAAGTTACTCTCTTTTTTTTAATAGGTAGAGTGAGATTTGTTTATTATTTTGGCCTTGCCGGCTTCTGAAAATTTTAACCACTTGGGACACAAAGATAAGAGCACTAATTAAATATACAGTAAACTTATCTCTGGTCTCATCCTCTTTTATATGTTGCGGCCCGACCTAGACCAGCTCGTAACAAATGTAAGTAACATTAAAAAACTATCACCACAATGTTATTCTGATCTTAGACAACTACAAGAGCCAGAGAATGTGCATGAAGAGCTAAAGAAACCTCAAAAGTGGACAGTGCATACACAGGATAAAAGGCATAAGAGCATTCTCCCATTCAGATATAGGACATACAGTGCATACACAGGATAAAAGGCATAAGAGCATTCTCCCATTCAGATATAGGACATACAGTGCATACACAGGATAAAAGGCATAAGAGCATTCTCCCATTCAGATATAGGACAGATACTTAAAGACTTCTGACTGCTATTTCCTATATTACGCTACTACTACTGAAAACAAATCATGACATGAAAATATCATTACATCCAAAGAATTCAAGGCAAAATTATAAAACATTTACATGACTAAAGGTTATTCTGCTTAACGTTGAGGAAGTTGTAAGATAGACTGAAAGATAAAATTTTAAATTTAAAGAATGGATCTATTTTTAAATGTTACATTGCTAAATCTTAGCTTACATGAAGGATTGTTAATTCCCATGTTGTACTTTGATTTTTCCAAAATACCAGTGTGTATCAGCTCAGCTCCACGCGGAGTTCAGTTGACCACAAAGCAAAATTCTGTGTAGGTTTGCATGTAATGTTAAGTTGGGAATTACTAACATGTCGTGTACTGCAAAGCAAAATTTTAGAATGTAACAACATTGTAGAATCCTAATGTGCTGTCAACATACCGTTTGCTGATTGGTTGAAAAATTAAAAAGCCCACTATGTATTCTGAGCACTGTAAAACACGACCTAAGATCCCGTAAGATTGCCACGTATTGCTTTTACGAAATTAAACATTAATGATGTAAATACAGAAAAGGTGAGAAAATATCTAATTGGAGAATGTAGAAAAAGCTAGCTAAAGATAAAAGAAGAACTTTTAGAAGAAAGTGTCTCAGAAGATTCCTGTTTTGCTATAAATAGAAGTTAATGTAGTTTAGTTTTCTCTTGAGAGTCGAGTTAACCAGTTAACCATTCCGTTCAGCCTAGCCTTAGTGCTAATTAAAACACTCCCACTCCTATAGCCCCTCTGACCACAGCTTCAAACGATAGCAGCAATCACCTACAAATAATTTAATGCAAACCAATAAAACTTTATTTTAAAGAGCCTAGAGCATTACCGTGTTTTCAAAACAAATTTTTTTTTAGCCGAGGCAGAGTGTTTCAATTTGAAAACTACCAATCAACTGTATTTTTACGCTGCTTATTTATGTAATTGACTGCATTATTGTTACGTGCCAGGTTATGGGCACATACTCTGGCAAAGTATGCTGTTGTGTGTGTTTCTTGTTCTGTGTTCATCCCTAGGTTTTCCCCACCCCGCCCCCAGGCTGATGAGGATTTGACATCACCTCATTAAGAAGTCGGGTTGCAGGTGGGGCGGGGCTTCCTGTATAATAGTGCTCTGGACCGGAGGGAACTCATCTTCGGCTTCCCTGCTGTTGACCTTTGGTTGATGTTCTGTTGGGGGGTGCGCGGGGATAAGGTAGCATGTACGCGCACCTGCGTAACTCCCGTAGGTGAATCTCTGTTAGACACACTAAGAGTAGCGGGCGGGCGCCACTCCATGTATGTTTTGGAGGGCCAGGCAGCTAGCCAGGGCATGTAATACAGGTAGTTTAGAGGTTTGTAGGGTTAGAGACTTTTGTTCTGTTTGTTACTTCCATTGTTCCCCGCCACTGTGGTCTGTTTTTGTGGTGTTGAACATAGTATGAATAAACTATTAAGATGTTTACTATATATTAATGTGCTTTATCGTGGTTACTCACAACATCAGCAGCACCTACGTCATTACCATTACCCCCCCCCCCCGACCCTAGACCAGGGGGTGGTTTGTAACATTATCCTAATCTTGAAATCCCGGGGTCTCCTGCAGTGGCTCAAAACATGTTGCTTTAACGTTAAACCATCCAGACATTATACCACTATATATAAATTCCTCCTAAAATGTGCGCAAACTTGGTCATCAATTACAAGAAACGTTTGACCTCTGTGCTTGCAAACAAGGGTTTTGCCACTAAGTATTAAGTCTTTTTTGTTAGAGGGTTCAAATACTTATTTCACTCAATGAAATGCAAATCAGTTTCTATCTTTTATTTAAAGTTATTTTTTCAATTTTCCTTTTGATGTGCCATCTGTCACTGTTAAAATAAACCTACCATTGAAATGATACTGTTCTGAGACTTTTCATTTCTTTATCATTGGACAAACTTACAAAATCAGCGAGGGGTCAAATAATTATTTCCTCCACTGTATATATATATACAGTATATATAGTTTATTGTATAAAATGTCAGGCTTCAGCCCCTTAAGTTACTGGACAAAACGGCGTAATGCACAAAGAATTTTAGATAGTTTTCAGTGTACTCAGGAGCAGCAGGATGTTTCCATGTCAGATTGCATGTCAGATTCCTTATTGGATCATCGTGCTGAAAATAATGAAGATGAAGATGATGTCTTCTCAGACTGTATTAGTGATTCTGAGGATGTAATGAGGGAATGTGATGATGACCACAGTGTTCTAGTAGATAAATTCAATGATGCTGAATGCTGGGCTGCTGAAAATGAAACTGAGGAATGCACTCCAACATTATAAGAAGAACTTGCAGAATGGGTGGTCAGCAATAGCATCACTCAGATCTCTGGCTGCCCTTTTAAAAATACTCAATCGTTATTTTTCAAATCTGCCAAAAAGTGCTCAAATGCTAATGAAAACAGGACCTGTAGATGGCATGCGACAAATTAATGGAGGGGAATATTTTCATTTTGGAATCCTGTCTTATCTTGTCACAAAAAAGGAGTGGCTATACTATATAACAGAGGCATTGTGACTGTGCCAATCAATATTGACGGCCTTCCTATTTTTAAAAGTTCTTCAGACCAGCTTTGGCCAATTCTAGGGCAAATTGATGGTGAAGTAGAGCCTTTTGTTATTGGACTGTTTTATGGGAAAAGAAAACCACAGTGCATTGATGAGTTTCTTTATGGCTTTGTTAATGAAGTGAAGGAGTTGGAACAAGGATTTTCAGTTGATGACAAAAATGATCATCTGGCCATTTCTTGCTTTCTATGTGATACTCCTGCTCGTTCGTTTCTCAAGAATATTAAAAATCATAATGCCTATCATGGATGTGAGCGCTGTGAACAAGAAGGGCAGTTCATCAATGATATTTTCCCTGAAAAAAAAAGCCAGACTTCGAAGTGATGAAAAGTTTAAAACTCAACAAGACCCAGATCATTATAAAGGGTCAACTCCGCACAATGTGCTTAATGTAGGCTTGGTGACACAGTTTGTGCTAGATTACATGCACCTGGTGTGCTTGGGTGTCACAAGGAAAATGCTCTTAATGTGGCTAA